AAAAACAAGCAATTAATTTTTAAAACTTTTCTCCAACAACAGAAATAGTACATTTTCTCATCATAGTTGCAGGCTGTAGTGGGAAGCCAAATCGATCAATCTTTACTCATGTACCTACTATGGGACAGGAACTATACTAGTCACTGGGGATAGAAGACAAAAATAAAATAATCTCTGCCCTCTCTCATAGAGTCTACAATCTACTGGGGGAAAATTACACGGACCCATATGAATAAATACAAAATAAATACAAGATAATGCGGAAAGGAGATTAGAAAAAGATTCATGTAAGGAGGTGGCATTTGACCTGAGCTTTGAAGAAAGCTAGGGATTCTAAGAGACAGAGATGAAGAGAGTACATCTGAAGCATAGGAGACAGTCTGTGCAAAGACCCAGAGAGGGGGGATGAGGCACAACAAATCGGTCAACTTGGCTAGAACTAGGCAGAAGCAGTGAAAAAGAGTAATAAATATTAATTCTGGAAATGTATATAGTCTGGCTAAAGCCAGATTGTGAATGGCTTTAAATGCCAAACAAATTTGTATTTTATACTAGAGGCAACAGTGAGCCACTGGAGCTTTCCGAATAGGGTGGTAACAAGGTCAAACCTTTGCTCTAGGACTATCACTTTATTGGCCACATGGAGGACAGAGTGCAGAGGGAAGAGATTTGAGGCATGGAGATGAATCAAATAAATATTGCAATAGTTCAGGACACTGGACTTTGAATCAGAAGACCCAAGATTCCAGTCCAAGCACAGATTAATTCACTTAATTTTGGGGCCTGTTTCCTCATCTATAAAATGGTAAAATAAAATTCACAACTACCTATATCCTTGCGTGGTTATAAAGAAAACATTTCATAAACTATTAAAAGTTATGAGAATGTAGGCTATTATTATTATGGCTATGGCTATTACTGGATACAGTTAAGTTTCAGAAGATTTGTGTTTTCTAAAATTTAAAAAAACTAAAATAACCCAACCAAAAGTCTATGGCTTTTTAGTTATATTGCTGATGTCATGGCCTAACTTCACATTTAAGCAAAGCTGTCAAATTTTTTGAAATACAAGAAATAAAATTATTAGCATTATCAAAAGAGAACGCCAGCCCTATTTCAGGGACTGTGGTACAGTAAACAAGAAAACTGGATAGAGTCAGGAGACCAGAGTATGAATCCCAAGTCTGACACTTGCTAGCTATGTGACAAGTCATACAAGTCACAGTCTCTCCGGGTTTCAGCTTCCTCACCTGTAAAATTACAATAAGCATTTGTAACCTTAAAGTACTATATAAATGTATTATCATTAGTACTCCACTTCCTGGCAGGAGTGCACTAATATCTTAAATAGTCTCCTGGTCTGAGTCTTTCCCCATTTCTAAGCCATCCTTCAGGATGCCAAAGATATCTCAAAAACCTCTACTGATCCTCATTACCTCCCCAATAAAATAGAAGCTTGATCCAGCCTAATTTTCTAGGTTATTTCATCATATTCCCTTTTACATACTCTGTATTCTGGGCAAACTGGCTTACTTCCCTGTTCCCCAATCTCATTCTGCTCTCTTTCATCTTCATTTCATATCTATTTACATCCTTCAAGACTCTGCTCAGGAGACATTCTGAAAATAATGTTCTTAATATGAAACCTAGTTATTTGTGTACATATTCCACTCCTCTTCCTAGACTAAAAGATCCCTGAAGGTAGATGAAATCACATTCTCTTCTCTCAAAAAAAAAGTTTCATCCAGCTGATAATTTGTACTGTTAGAAAAGTGGGAACATCAAATGTAAAGACATGTGTTAAACTTTCTTGTGTGTCTGTTTCCTCAACTGAAAAAAAAATACCTCACAAAGTTATTGTGAGTCAAATGAAAAAAATGTATATGAAAGCATAATGAAAAGTACAGTTTCTATGAGATGTGATTTCTCCCTCTTCACAACATTTTGTCATAGGATTTTGTTTATTTTTATGTTATTTTCCATAACATTGTGTACTGTCATTGCAATCACATTTCAGGCTATAAACTTTTAAGACCGGATTATCTCACTCATCTTTGTACTAACAACCCTCTCTCCTCTCCAGCCTACCACAGTATCTTGCAAATAGCAGAGGCTAAATATATGTTGACTAAAGTCATCGCCAAAGAATACCATTTAATTCAGTCAAAAGCTTCAACTTCCTATCCCACCAAATCTTCTAAAGAAATAATAAGTAGTAAACTTGTTTTTTAGTTTTGATTAGACTCTTAGTTTTCATTAGACCCTTTCTGCCAGTAGTGTGATGGAGAAGCAAAGTTTAAAAAACAAAAACTGATGAACAGAGGAAAAAGAAAATGCAAAGAACTTAGATCAGCATTCCGAAAAGTAATCTGGACTTGAAATACTCTTGGGCTCAAACTGTCAACAGAACATACAAATGCTGACATAGGAATATAAAATACTCCTTAGGATAATGTAGTAGGGACATTTTTGAATGAAAATTAAACCTATTTTGATAATTGTAAATTACTTAACATAATTTTGACACAATTTCTATTTCAGAGAACTATCAATAAAATCAAAATGATCATGAAAGAGGAGTTTCTTTTTCAGATATGGTTTGACTGAATAGCCATTGAGGTCCCTCCCAATGGTTCTGTGAACCCCTATTCATATCTCAAAGAACACCAGGTTCCCCAGGACATAGTTTGGGAAATATTGCCTTAAACTACTAATCCATCAACACCTGAAAAAAATCTACCAATAATGCTCACAAGCAATGTGAATAAAAATTATAGAAATCAATTCTCACATAGTCACTGACTAATCATACATAATGTAAAATTTATCACAGGGAAGGTCATTTACATTGTTAGGTGACTACAGTAGGTTATTAAGAATACAGAATTATTATTACACATTGTTAAGAGGTAAACAAAAATATCATTCCTATTCTTAAAAGCCACCCCATCATACAAAAGCATATGCATATTTGAAAGTATAAAATTGTGGAAATCTTAGAAGAAAATCTACTTATGTAGAAAGCATAATCATAATACTTATTTCTGAAGCAGGAGACAAGTATATTTAATATTCTTCTATTAAAATGAACTGTGACACCAAAGTAGTGAAATACTAACTTTTATTCACTTACGTTATAGTTCTATACTTATAAACCAAGTACTGGTATGTCAACAGGACAGCCTTACACAGAAGTGTATTTTTAGTTGATGTCTGTCAAGTCAAGAAGCATTTCTTAAGCAGCTACTATGTGCCTAAAAGTGCACTAAGCAATGTTTGCCCCCAAAAAATCTCATTTTCTGCCTTACATACTATAATTTTTAATGCAAAGTCAGCTTACTTGTTCAGTTTTGCTTGATTACAACAACTAAGATTTGTACATACGAGTATCAGAATAAAAGGTAATAAATATAGGTTTGAAGCAACTTCTAATACAACAATAAAAACCTATCAAATCGGGTTTCCATGTTAATTAGCAGCATAAAGCCATTTCGTTCAAAACGTCTTAACTACAAATGCATTCAAAAAAGGGCTATTTTATTATTGTTTTCATAGAGTTATTCAGATTGTTACCGAATGTCTAAAGATACAATCCTCCCAGAAATTTTAAAATGTGGAAAAGGGTAACATTATCTCAATCTCCAGACATAACCATAGGACTTCTCCAAACTTAAAACAATTTAAGGAAGTCAGTCAATCAACAAGCATTTATTAATTGCCTGTCATGGGCCAAATAAAGTAAAAATAAGTTTTAAAAAAACTAGGAGAGAGGGAAGGGAAAGAGTCTAACAAGTCGTGTCAACTAGCAGTCACTGGCACAGAGTCGCTTAATAAATGTTTACCGATTGTTTACAGTTAATTGACTGACTGGTCTACTATGTGGCAGGCACTGTGCTAAAATGCTAGGTATACAAAAAGGTGGCAACAACCATCGCTGCTCTCAAGGAACGTTCTTCTAGATCAAAGATTTCTGCTACACGACACTCACATTTCACCTCCAGTTGGGGGGGTGCAGGGCTCAACCTCCTGCCCTACATGACCCCGGACCTTGAAGTTGTCCAGCCCCGCTGCCTATCAATGCCGAGGAGCGACGAGCCGGAGCTGGGAGTCTCGGGCTGCCTATCTGAGGGCGAGGAAGCCCCTAACCCACGTCTGGCCCCAGCTTCCCGGACCCTTGCGAACAGCCCCAAGCCCACGTCCAGCAGCTGCCAGGCCTCTATCGAGACTTGTTGTCAGCCCCGAGGCTGGGGAGCGGGACCGGCTCGCCATTGCGGGGCTTTCCCGAGAGAAGGGCCGCGGGCCGCGGGCCCCCGGCAGGTGCCTCGCTCCGCTCGGAGCTCTACGGGCCAGCCGAGCGGGGACAGCGGTGACGGACAGGCGTCGGCCCCGCAGCCGGCTGGTCTCCTGGCCCCGCCCCGCCTCCGACTAGCCGCCTCGGTCCCACCCCGCGCCCCCTCCTCGGCCGCCGCTCACCTGAGAGTGTCGCCTCCGGCCCCGGCGGCGCCGGCTCATCCCGTGGGGCTGGGCGGGAGGAGCAGCGACGACGCCCCCGCCCGGCCTGTCCGCTGGGTTGGGACAAGCGGCCGGCCCGGCCCGGCCCGGCCTAGCACCGGCTCCCTCCTCGACCCGCCGGCCGGCGGGGAGGGAGAGACGCTGAGGAGGGAGAAGCTGGCTTCCCCTCCCGCGACAGCGCAGCCTCCGGCGCTTCGGCTCGCCCGGACTCTCTCTGGCTCTGGCCCGGCTCCGCTCCTCCCGCCGGGAGTCACTTCGGCGGCGGCAGGGGCGGCGGAGGCGGCGGCGGCAGCTCGGTCGCCATTACAGACCAACAACTGACACGGAGGAGGAGCTGCGGCGGCGACGGAGGCGGAGGCAGAGGCAGCGGCGGCGGCGGCGGCAGCGGCGGCAGGCGCGAGGCAGGGCGGGAGCAGTCCCGGCCCCGGAAACCTCGCGAGCACTGCCCCGAGACTCCCTGCTCCAGCCTCAACTTTCCGCGACGGCCATGACGAGTGTGGCTGAAACGTGAGGACCGGCGCGGAGGGAGCCAGCGGACACCATGTTAGGCGTGGCTCAGGTTTGAGCACCTAGTAAGTGCAGTCTAAATTCTGTCCGCATCTGTGTGCTAATGTATCCTCTTCCCTCTTGCGCATTTCACCCTGGGGGCAGGGAGACAGGTTTTGTGCTGTGATTGGGCAGCTTGGAAACCACAAAACCGAAACTGACAAGATTTAAAGGTACGAGGCGATGGTGGTGTACTTATTGGCTACGGGATGTACCAGGAAGAAAGATGCATTTTGGATTCCAGAGGACTCCGAGTTCGAATTCCTCACTCCGCTACTTCTAGCCTTTCTGGAACTCAGTTTCCCCATGTATAAAATGAAAGTAGTTAGACCAGGTACTCTGCAGTTTCTTCCAGAGTTAATTCAATTATCCCATGGCCCTCGTCCAGGATTTTACCATCCTGTATTTGATCAATCCAGAGGACTCCCAGACTCAGGCTAGTAAGTAGTTAGGCGTTGCTGCCGATGTTTTGATTCTGTTACTTAAATGTCAATCCCTAAGAACTCAAAATTATCTTGACATGAGTCGAGGATAGAAGGAGAAGGAAGAAGAAGAAGGAGAAGGCCTAGGAGGCGGAGGAAGAACCACCATCTTCACTTAACATCCTCCTCTTCTTGAGCTTTCTGCAGCCTTTGACACTGTTGATCACCCTCTTCTCCTTGAAGCTCTTCTCTCTAGGATTTTGGGCACCACTCTCATCCTGGTTCTCTTCCTACCTATCTGAATGCTGCTTCTCTCTCTCTCTCTCTCCTTTGCTGGATCCTCCTCCAGATCACACGTTCCAATGGTAAGTGTTTTCAGGGTTCTGTCCTAGGACTTCTTCTCCTCTCCTTCTTTACTTGGTGATGGAATCAGCTCCCATGGATTTAACTGTCATGTCTATGCTGATAATTCTCAAATCTACCTCTCCTGCCCAAACCTCTCTACAGCCCTCCTGTTCACATTTTCAGATGCCTTTCAGACATCTCAAACTGGATGTCCAGTAGATATCTTAAACTCAACATGTCCAAAACAGCACTCATAATTGTTTCTCCAAACCCTTCTCTATTACTATTAGCGCACCTCCATCTTCTCAGTCTTCCAAGCTTGAAACCTAAGAGTCATCCTAGATTCCTCACCATCTCTCATACTTCACATCCAGTCTATTGGCAAGGTCTTTTGAGTTCATCTTTGCAGCATCTCTCCAATAAGCCTCCTATCAGCTTCTCTGATACTGCCACCCCTTTGGTGCAGGCCCTCACCTAGACTATTGCAATAGCCTTGTGGGAGGAGTCTGCCTTCAAGTCTCTCCAATCCATCCTCTATTCAACCACTAAAATGATTTTCCTAAAGTTCACACCTGGCCATGTCACTCCCTCCTAAACTCCAGTGGCTTTCCATTGCCTCCAGAATCATAAACAAAGCCTCTCCATCTAGAATTCAAAGCTCTTCATAACTTAGCCCTCCCTTTCCTTTCCAGTCTTCTTACACCATTCCATCCCTCCACCTTTTGATCTGGTAATACTGGCTTCTTTGTTGTTACATGAGCAAGACACTCCTCTCAGCTCTGGGTATTTTTTTCTTGACTGTCCCCCATAACTAGAATGCTCTCCCTCCTTGTCTTCACCCTCTGGCTTCCCTGGCTTCCTTCAAGTCCTAACTAAGATCCCATCTTCTCCAGGCAGCCTTTCCCAACCCCTTTTAATTCTAGAGCCTTCCCTCTGTTATTTCCTTTTTATTCTAAATATGTTTATACATATTTACTTGCTTATTGTCTCCCCCATTCTATTATGAGCTTTTTGAGAGTAATGATTCTCTTTCACCTCTTTTTGTATAGCTATTGTTTATCACAGTGCCTGGCATGTAGTAGGCATTTAATAATTGCTTATTAGCTTACTGAGGGAGGATTCCAAACCAGGATTTCCTGATTCCAAGTCCGTGTTTGATCTACTGAGCCAATGTTGTACCCAACCTGTAGGCAGCAACCCAATCAGAATAATGGAAGTCTATAAATCTTTAATATTATATATCATTTTATATATATATATATATAAAATTATAAATCTGTAATAAGCAAATGTAACTTCTGTAGACTGAACCCCAGCCCCATACCACTAGCTAATCTATTAAACATTTCCAACAGAATGTCCAATAGGTATCTCAAGATAAATATGTCCAAAACAGTTGAGTTGATCCTCAAAAGCCTACCCATTTTCCTAGCTTCCATTTTTCTATTGAAACTATCCTACTGTTGACCCAGGTTTACAACCTCAAAGTCATCCTCAACTCTTCCCTCTCCATCACCATCCATATGCAGTTAGGTGCTAAATGTTGCTAATTTTACATTTATAAATCTCTTGGATCCATTCTCCCTACTCACACAGCCTCTCTTTTAGTTCAGGCCAGTATCGTTTCTTGATTGGATTATCACAATAGCTCCCTAACTGTTCTCAAAGCCTGTAAACATCTCCCTTCACACAGCCATCAAAGTGATATTCCTAACGCACAGTCTGACCATTTATCACACCCCTGCTCAAGAAACTCCAGTGACTTTGTACATTCCCCATAAGAATGTGAGCTCCCTGAAGTCAAGGAGTATACTTTTTGCCTTTTTTTGTATCCTGAATATTTAGTCAATAAACATGTATTAAGTGGCAAGTATATGCCCAGCCCTGTGGTAAACACTGGGGATACAAAGAAAAACAAAAAACATCCCTTGTTCTCAAGGAGCTCACAGTCTAATGGGAAATACAATATGGAAACAACTCTGTACAAACAAGCTATGTACAGGATAAATTGGAAAATATTAAACAGAGGGAAGGCACTAGAATTAACAGGGATTGGGAAAAGCTTCCTATAGAGATGAGATTTTATCTGGACCTTGAAGGAAGCCAAGAGGCAGAGATGGGCAGAGAAAGAACTCCAGATAAGAGGGGTAACCACTAAAAATTACTGGAGTTAGGAAATGGAGTATCTTGTTTGACAGAAAGCTAGGAGACCAGTGTCACTGGATCATAGAGTATGTGAGGTGGCGGTGTAAGGTAAAACAGAAAGGTAAGAGGGGGCAGGGTTAAAAAGGCTTTGAATGCCCAACAGAGAATTTGACCCTGAAAGGGATAAGGAGCCTGGTACACAATAAATGCTTAATAAATGATTATTGATGAATTGATTGTCTCTAGGATAAAAGAGAAACTTCTGTGTTTGGCATATAAAGCCTTTCCCAATGTGCCTGCGGCCTACCTTTCCGAGCTTATTACACATTACTTCCTATCACAGGCTCCTGTACCCCCACAAGGGTCGGCCTTGACTGTGTCTAGGCATTTTCTGTGTGCCCTACCATCCTCCACCCCAACATGCTTTGTAGCTGCCTGATGCTGTAGTCTAGGACCACTCTAGTGGAGAAGAAATCCCCATGAATAATGATAACCTACTGGAACTCATTCCTCAGTGATTGACATATTTCCACCTTATCATATCCACCCCATGATTCCAAAGCTTCAATTGCCATTATTCAAATCCTATTATCCATGCCCCACTGACCTCTCCTTTATTTATATCACTTTTAACCCAACTCCACCAACCTCTAACTGTAAAGCTACCCAACCCTTCTACTATGCTTTCTGGAATGCCTGCTCCATAGGTAACAAACTGAACTTTATCTTAAACCTTTTCCTTTATCACTCCTTCCATCTTCTTTCACTCAGTAGCTCCTTCCTGATGTACAGCTTCCTTGGCTGCCCTTTCCAGCAAGGTTGCACTTTCACTCATACCACCAGCTCACTGGTCTTGGGAGAAATGGATTACTCCTTGCTCCACATTGCCATTTATAGGCTCTCCCTCTACCACCATTACTCAATAACCTCTCCTCCTTTGAGATTCATTCAGTCTATATCTATCACACAAGATTCTGGTAGCTGTTTTCTATAGACTTCTAAGACATTCTCCTTCCTTCCTCGATGAGTTAAGAACCTGGCTCACAGTCTTCCTCTCCTCCCCAACTACTTCATACTAGGGCGATTCAGCATACATTTTGATACTCCTTCAAATACCCTAACTTCCCATTTCCTCAATTTACTCAAAACCTTAAACTGCCCAATTCTTCCGTTTACTCACTTCCCTTCCACTCCACCATAGTTATGCATCGATTAAATCCAATTCACCCCATGATGTCATCGGTCCTCCTCAAAAAAGAAGGGCAAACAACAGCTACACACAGATAGTCATACCCTTGATCTTGCTATTGCCTCGAAGTCTTCCGTATCCATATTCAGTAACTCCGAAATTCTGCATGTTAGGTCTGACTTTATCATCTCCCCCAGCTTCCGTCCAATAGACTCCAGTGACTCTGTTATCTCCAGTATGAAATATAAAAGCCTCTGGCATTCAAAGCCCTTCATAACCTGGCACACTCCTACCTTTTCATTTTTTTTACATTACCCCCACATACTCTGATACCCAGGCACACTGGCCCCCTTGCTGTTTCTCTTACTCACTCTACCGACTCCAAGTATTTTCATTATATATCCTCCATACCTAGAATTCCCTTCTTCCTCATCTCTACCTCTTGTTTTCTCTGGCTTCCTTGAAGTCTCAACCAATGCCCCACATTTCTGCAAGAAGTCTTTCCAGTCCTACTTAATCTTCGTGTCTTCCTTATGAGATCACCCCCAATTTATACCATATATCTTTTGTTCATCCAGAGGGTAGGAATTGGGCTGCGTCGTGAGGGAAGCCAAGAAAACTAACAGGCAGAGGTGAAGGGACAAAGCATCTCAGGCGTGAAGGACAGCTAGTACAAAGGCATGGAATTCCCTTCCTCCTCCTCTCTGCCCCTGGCTTCCCTTGCTTCCTTCAAGGCCCTTCTAAAATCTCCTCTAAGCCATTCCCAATCCCCCCTTAATTCCAATGCTTTCCTTGTTGATTATCCCATTATATATGTACATAGCTTGTTTGTTGTTTATATGTTGTCTGCCCCATTAGACAGTGAGCTCCTTGAGAACAAGGACTGGTTTTTTTTTAAATATCCCCAGCATGTACCACTATACCT